ATTAAAATATTTCAAGTTTGTATAACTAGAAAATCTTACTTTTAGTTTTCAAAGGTATGTTTGCTAAGTATAAAATTCAAAGAGGACAGATCTTTTATTTCAGTCCTTTAATTAGTCTAGTTGCTTACACACTTGGTCCTTTTTTTTCTTTCTAATGTGGAATAAAGTGCTATTTAATTTTGTTCTTCCATAGCTAATATTTTTTTATGCATATGCTTCAATGATCTTTTTCTTTACAATAAGTTTTGGACAATTTCATTTTTGTGTATCTTGGTATGATTTTATTTAAATTTCTTGTGCTAAAGGTTCATTTTTCTTAGAAATATGATATTATAAGTTGTACTAAATTCAGAAATTTTAAATCTTTAAATATTTATTGCCTACTCTTTTCCATTTTGAGAATTCTAATTATATGAATATAAGTTTCTTGGTTTTGGCAGTGAACTATTATGACTGATCTGTAAATTCTTCATTTTTATTTTGGACAATTTTTATTGTTATATTCATTTGTTTGTACATAATTTATTTTCAATTTGTAATCTATTAAAAAATTAAAATAAAAAATAATTTAAAAATAAAATCAAAACTCACATTTTCAAAAAAAGATAAATATGAAAATAATGTGCTCAGCTGTAGAGCTATTTACACTCATTGTACAAGTGTGGTTCTGGTGGCGAGAAAATATGTATCAGAGAATAGCAGGTACTAATATTTTGGTCGATTTCCTAAGAGTGAACTTTTTTTTTTTTTTTTTTGAGGCAGGGTTTTGCTAAGCAGTTCAGGCTGGCCTTGAATTCACTTGATAGTCCAGGTTGGCTCAAACTTGCAGCAAGAGTGTTGGGATTATGGGTGTGAGCCACCACACCCAACTAAGAGTGAATTTTTCAGGGCAAAGTAAAGTTTATTTTTGTGTCCTTGATACACATTTTTTCAATGGCTGTGTTGTTGTGAATAGGTTCAATGCTTAATCAGATCACAGGCTTGTAATGAATACGCTATTTTAGCACAAAGAGACCCGATCTGACACTAAAACTAAGGACAGATCTCTCTAAACCTTGTTCGTACCAATCCTGAACATGCTCGGGATTTCTGGGGCCCGGTACAAGTACATTCCACATCACCACGTATTTTTAGATGTCATGTATCTCAGTACATCCAAGCGAGGCACGCGCACATGCAGGTGTGAGCAGGTCTGTCAAACTCTACCTATAAGGTTTTCAGAAGACAGGGTCCAAAAGTCGAGAGTTGGGGCCAGTCTATCTTCCGTGTCGCAATAGCCCTGCTCGCGCTCTGACTCGTTACTGGAGTGCTGCAGAAGGCCAGTACTTCCTCCCAGAACGGATTGCAAAAGGCAGCGAGCGCCAGCGTGGCAGGCCACACCCAGAAAAAGCAGACTTGGAAATCGGAGACTCCGGGTTAGGCAGCGAAACTGCAGCCTGATCCTTTGATTCATTTTCCTACCTCCACAGGCACAACAGAACTTTTGTACTGCCAAGTCTGGCGCAGGGCGCTGCCGCTAACAGCTGGCGCCCCGAAGGGGCTTCCGTCGCGACTGTGGAAGTCACCGGCTCCCCACGGGCCAGCACTGAGCACCCGGGTCGCCCCCAGAAGGCCACGCTCGGTGGTCTCGGGCTGGGCCGCCACCTCTCCCGCACACCCGCTGATCTCCAACGCGAGAGAGCCGGCCAACGGCGGAAGAGAGAGCACAGCCCCGCTCAGCTCAGCCTAGGAGCAAGGCGACTTCCGTTTCCGGGTCCCGACTTCCGGGAGGAGCCCGGTCCAGAGGCGGAGCCGCCGTCCGCCGCGACTTTCGGACTTGCAGCATGGCTGCGCGCTGGTGGCGGTGGCGGCGCGGCTGCTCCTGGAGGCCGGCGGCGCGGAGCCCGGGACCCGGTTCCCCAGGCTGTGCGGGGCCGCCCGGGCCGCGCGCCGCTGCGGACGCTCGCGCTCAGGTGAGGCCGGCGGGCGGGCGCCCCAGTCGCCGCAGAGGTCATCGCGCCAATGACAGCGGCAGGCGGAATGAATGGGAGTCGGGAGCACGCGCGCCGGGGACCGGGCGGGACGCCTGGGGCGGCGGGGTCCCCGCTGGGAGGGAGCCACGCGCTTGCCCGAAGCAGGGCTTCCCGGCTCGCAGGAGCAGAGCGGGGTCCCGCAGACTGGGGGTCATTGGGAATCCGGGCCGGGGCCAGGCTGCGGGAAAGCGGCGAGGAGCCACGTCCGGGTGTGGCGCGGGAGGGTCAGAGTGTCCCCAGGGGCGTTGACAGGCAAATCGCTGAGGCCCCTGCTGCAGTTGCCTTTGATTTACGGCCGGCTTGTAAAGGACAGGCGTTAGAGCTGTAGACACGCTGAGCCGACCTTGGCGGGAAGAATAGGAAAGGGTCTGCGGAAGGCGCCTGATGCTAGCGGGTGGACTGGAGCGGAGCACCCTAGGGGCGCACGTGGACGGGGCTGGAAGAGCACCAGGAGAGGCGTCTGGGAACGTCAGGAAAGACTCCTGGGAGGCTTCTTTCTCCTGGGGCTTCTGCAAGTGAGCTCAGAGTCTGAGTTGAGCACTCACCGTGATTCCATGTCCCCATGCAGCCTTTGGTCCCATTCAATTTCTCTCCTTTTCCAAGCAGTTAGGCTGCTGAATGGATACGATGTGCGACAAATTCTATAGTGACAAATTCACAGTGTACCATGGGGTAGACTCGTACTGTTACCCTAACCGCTCAATATGTAGGGGTTCACATTCGTTTTTAGAGACAGTTCCCATCACACAATAATCGTGTTTACTTTCCATCTGTGCAGTGTTCCCCCTCCCCTTTGATTTTTTTTTAAATATGTATATTTAGTACAGGGTCTCCTTACACAGATCAGACTCGTAGCGATTCTCCTGTTTTCAGCCTCCCAAGCACTGGTATTACAGGCGTGCACCACCATGCCCAGTCTCAAATGCCCTCTCAGCGTGCCCCTGGGGTGGGGCTGGTGTGGCATGCCGGTTGATCCCTGTCTCTTGCATCTGCCTAAAATTTAATCCGCTGAGCTATCTGGCCGGCCCCACCTCTTTGAATTTGGACTCTTAGGTTTCAGTCAGATTTGATACACTTAATCCTCCCGTATACTCTTCTGTTTATTTGCTATTATGAAATATATAACATTTATAAGTGTCTACTTTGTGACAACGTAGATGTATATTATAATTATCGTACAAAAAATAGCTTGGAGAGAGACTGAACGATTAGCAAAGAAAGAATAGTTATAAGGAGAGTGGAGAGCTTGTGGGAAGAATTGGAGAAAGTAGGGTTTGCTGGAATCCATCCAGTACTATCCAAGCTAGGCTTCAGATTTTTCTGGTTCCACAGATAAGGGCAGTACTTGAAGAGATACATACATCCACCATGTGAAGCCGCTAGATAGTTCTTTCCTTTTATATTCCTCTTTCCTTTAGTTTTTATTTTGTGCCTACCAAGCAACCTCAGCCGTAGTAAAGTCTGGAGAGACTAGGATTTATGGAGTCTCTGCCTGATTTCAACGAAGGCGGGGCTGGTGGTGCCAGGCCAGGTGTCAGGGATAGTGTTACTATCCATTAACATTTGAGTCTCAGTTTCAGACCTATGTGTTTTGATTACTTCAAGTCTCTTAAGGGTCTCTTGAGGACCACAAACAACAAGCCAAGTTTGCCTCTAGTACAGCTGTACTACTTCCTAATATTTGTATACATATTATCCATGAATCTTGTTAACACATTTTGTAAGGGATTAAAAGTCAGTGTATATTTGACTATACTAGGTCGGTCATCAATAGATCTTTTTTTGTTGTTGTTTTTTGCAGAACTGGGGTTTGAACTCAGGCCCTTGTGCTTGCCAGGGATGCACCTATTCCACTGAGCCATCACCCTAGCCCTAGATCTTTGATTCTAATTGAGCATGTTCTCTTATTTTAAGAAGTGAATTTATGAGAGTCATGGTTGATTTTTCAGGGACAGCAAGTGATGCAAAGAGGAAACAAAATTGAAACTGGATAATGATTGTTGCTTGCGCAGAACATTACAGCTCTAGTTTCTCCGTGTGCTGGTAATACTTCAGTGTTTCTGGGAAAGTCTCCAACCTCATTTTGGAAAACTTTGCCCCAAAGGCTTCTTGAAGCACACGCTCCTAAATTAAATAGATACTATCTTAAATAGAGGCTGAGGGTTGGTGTGGCTCAGGGTGGCGCATGTGCAGGGTGCCCTGCAGGCCCTGGGTGTGTGATGATTGTGAGCAGGCTATGCTCTGGACTAGTGACTTTACATACACTGCTCCTCCTAAATTAATCTCACTCTGTGAATAGTTATTATTAAAAAGATGTTAAATGTAATAATGAGAGTTGAAGCAAACTCTCCTCCGAAGAACTGCCTCAGGATAAAGAATGCCCTGTATTAATTATGACATTTTAAAATTTTGCCAGGTAGAGCCTACTACAGGGTTTTAAGCTAAAGAGTTACATCTTCCATTAAGATGTAATTTATAAGTATTATAATAAAATACTGGATTTTTATGAATTGCTCATGAAGGCTGAGGAATCAGGTTGTTGCTCAAGTGTGGTGGTACATGCCTTTAATCCTACTCAGGAGGCTGAGGCAAGAGGATTGTAAATTCAAGGCCAGCTTGAGCAAGTTAGCTAGACCTCATTTCAAAAAGACAAAAAGACAAATAGGTTGACAAAGGAAGATAAAAAATGAAAGGGAGAATTCTTGCTTTACTTTCTGAGACATTATTTGCCTGGGCATCATAAATGTTCTTACCAGTTTAGTAAATAGAGTGTGCTGCAGTAGAAAGAATGTCTTCCTTGGCCACAGTGTGGCAGTCAGCATTTGCATGATATA